GTAGTTATGTCTGGATACATACTCACTTATCAGGGTTTGGTTCTAGGATCCACATAGGAGGGAAAACATATGTCGATTTTTTTTTCTGAGCCTTTGTTACTTCACTTAGTATGACAGTTTCTAGTTCCATCCATTTACCTGCAAATTTCATGATTTCATCTTTCTTTATTGCTGAGTAAAACTCCATCATATAAATGAATCACATTTTCATTATCCACTCGTCAATTAAGGGGCACTTAGGTTGCTTCCATCTCTTAACTATTGTGAAACGAGCAGCAAACAAACATGGATGTACAATGTCTCTTCAATAGGATGAGTTCTTTGGGTGTATGCCAAGGGGTGGTATAACTGGGAATATGGTTTGCGGGGCTGGAGAGATGGTTCAGCAGTTGAGAACCCTTGCTGTTTTGATTCCCAGTGCTTGAATGGAGGCTAACACCCATTTGTAACTCAAGTTCCAGGGGATCTGACACCCTCTTCTGGCCTTTCTGGGCATTGCATACTTGTGGTGCACTTACATCTATGTAAGCATACACATAAAAATAAATAAAAAAAGAGTATGGTTTGACTTCATGGAATGTGCGTTAGGCAGGGTTCTTTAGAGAAACAACTGACAGAACGAATGTATGTGGAATGGATTGTGTTAGGTTGATTTATTCAGTACAGTCTAGGTAGTCTACCAATGGCTGTCTAGGTAGAGAGGCTGAGAACCCAGTAGCTGGGTGCCTCAGCAGTTCCAGTTTGGCACTGAGGGCCTGGAGGATTCTTGGAAAGCTATTGATACTCAGTCCACATTGGAAGCCCGAAGAAATTGGGTTTTGATATCAGTGAAGGATGGTAGCAGCAGCTATAATGATGTGGCTGTTCACTTTTGGGTGGTGCCTGAATTGCATTCATAACTGTTGGTAATCCAGGCCATAGTCTTCTTTCCCCAGTCAGATGTAATCAGGTGACTATAATTAGGCGCACTTCATGAGGTCATAGATACATGACTGGGGACAGGGCATATAACAGGGGTAAGAATCATAGGCAATAGCAGCAGCAATGACATGGTAGGTGGACTCGCCAGGGAGAGCAAATGTGAGCAGGCAAAACAAAGCTGCTTTTTCCCCCCTGGATCTCCTTTTATTTGTATTGTCACCAGAAGGTGCCGCTCACCTTTAGGGTGGGTCTTCCCACTTCAAATCACCTGATCAAGGACATTTCTCCCAGGTGTGCC